TATTGTCCAAACATAAAACCCCTAAAGACAATACCTGAAATGACAAATTTTGAAATGCCTATTTTCACACCTGGCAAGGCAAATATTACCAAATCAGATGTTGGTCATTTGTCCAGATTAGTAAAATCAACATGTCCATCTGCAGAAATCAAAGGAAAATCTCCGAAGAAATCCAAGAAACTAAAGAGAAAACCTACCCTTGAAGTTTCAATTGCTGTGGGGGAGAGGTATGTGTACGACGTTGCCTGTGCTTCAGAATCTTCTGTATGGATGTGTGGAGCAGGTCTCATTTACTACGACAACAACGTACGGCTGCTGGAGAAAGACGGGAATAACACAGAGACTTTAGAATGTCCGATGAATCCAAAATATGTTGCCTTGAAGTCACCAACGTGTGTTCTATTTAGTGACCATACTGACAACACTGTCAAACTCTGGTCACGAGAAGTACAGAAGGTTTTGATCACGACCGAGGACTGGACCCCAAAAGGACTGGTGGTCACGTTATCTAATGACGTCATCGTCTGCCAGTATAAGAAAACTGAGGCGGCTGTGTCAACTGCAGCGTTGTCAAGAGTCGTGAGATACGATGACAAAGGCTCGGTGATTCGAAAAATGGAATTCAATGGAGATAAACGAATATTTCGAAATGCTATCTTCATTGCAGAAAACAGAAACTTTGATATTTGTGTATCTGATGAAGAAAAACATTCTGTTGTCGTTATGGACAAACTGGGCAAAATGCAGTTTGTCTACAAAGGCAACATCAAATCAGGCAAGTATCAAAGTTTTAACCCAAGGGGCATCAGCACGGACAGTCAATGCAATATCCTGGTTTCGGACTATTTGAACTATACGATCCACGTCATTGATCAGCAAGGGAAGTTCCTTAGCTACTTGCTGAGAAGGGAAGTGAAGTTTCCATTGGGTCTCTCTGTCGACAAAAACGATAAAGTTTGGGTTGGCGAATATTCAAATGGAACAATAAGTGTCATCGAATATTTGTCGTAGAGAAGCTCGAGTGGACTTTTTTTTGAAAATATAAAGAGAACTCTCTTCAAGCATGAAAAAGATTACAGTTCAATATCTAATTCAATAATTGTAATAAATATTACGGTTTATAAATATATGTTTGAGCTCCGTTTTAAAGTAAAGAAAGATTTCAGAAGAAAGAAAAAAATGTCAGGAACTCTTGGTCAAGAGGAGGAAACCCTACAATCTTATGGAACTTGTGTAACAAACGCATCCTATAAACTCCATATGAATGGAATACTACAAAATACTGGAGACTGAATACAAAGAACCCCTCATTCATATTTTGTATATGAAAAGTATAAAATTATATGTGCTCTATATATGAAATAAAAACACATTCTATTGCAAAATTATTTGATTTATGGATCTTTTAGAGCAAATCAGCGAATATCTATTGATAGCAAAGATTGTGATAAAGGACTATAATTATGTTAAATACCCGGTAATCACTTGATCACCCTGATTTTCTGGAGGTCCGTATTTTCTCTGCTCCTATTTTGTATTGTTTTATGGACTTTTGATCTTGAATAGTGTTCGTTATCTCCATATGTTTCATTACACACTAAATTGTCCAGGTTTTTTTCCTGATCATGACAAAGAGCACTGGATAGGTGTGACCGGGACACCGGTCGTCAGGGGATGCTCACTCCTCCAAACTCTGTTTTGGAGGTCCGTGTTTGCTCTGCTGCTGATTTGTATAGTTTGAATGGACTTTTGAGCTTTAACACTTTTCGTCATCTCCATATATTTCACAGCAAATTACTTAAGACTTATGTATTCTTTATTTTTCGTAGGAATCCATATTTTTGGTGTTTGCACCTCCACCCCCAAAAAGAAGCAAATAAACCAAACGCACCAAAAACAAAAATAATCGTTAATATGTAAACAGCTTTGGATAAATTTTATAGAGGAAATGGACGTCGTATGATAAATTTAAAAAAATGGGAAAAGTCTTCATCATTATAACTTTTTTGGTTAACTTTAATTATATATAAAGTTAAATTACCACGATTTTCAAGAATCTCACAAGTATTGAATTTATTTTTATTAATATGAACTAGCATCTTCACACCTAAGTAGGACAAAAAGGACCATTTATTTATACTTTACTAGCTAGTTGATCAAGATGGGTTTATCAAAGCCCTTTTTGTTTTTTGGAAATTTTATATTTAACGCATGAATTAAATTATTATCTTCATTTTCAATTTATAAAAATTGGATCAAAGTACGTTAAAATTACCTTTTATTACTAAGATTCATATCTTCTTTTTTGAAAAATAGTGTTTCAACGGATTTTTAAAAATGTTACTTCCTGTTATGAGTTGTGAAGTATAGTGATTAAAGTATGTGGCAGTCTATAATAAAATTTTGTTTTGTATGTGCTGATTATCGTTTTGAGCTAAAAATTATATTAAAATATATCTAGCTATCCATGGAATTACTTTGAAAAGTCACTATGTTTGTTTTATTTGAATATGATTTATATATAACTGTTGTTTATTTTCCGAGTTTCTTAGATTTCACAAAAAATTAAGTAACATGAAGGTGAGAATAACAAGTGATTTAAACTTACATTACAGAGGTGGGATCGTGTGACTAGGGGGAGCAATCATCCCTTGTTGACTTGTCACACCTGCTGTGAGCGTTTTGTTTTAATGAAGTATACGGAATATTCCTCGGTCAAATTTAGTTTAAAATTAAAACAAAGGCCTAACCAATGGTATGAAACAGGTTAGCCAAATAAATGTACGATCTAATAAAGGGTTATATTTTCTCAGAAGGTCATTATAATAACGACCGTAGAATTTACGCTAATTTTAAACTAGGTTATACAAACTCCTGTAACATCAACTTTTATGTGAGTAGCCTGTCTGGCTTTATAAAATGAACTTACTCAGAGCATGTTCATGAGAAGCAAATAAGTTCGGGAACATAAACATCATATGCACCTGACAGGGGAATATTACTACATAAACAAGGACAATTGTCGATGAAAAACCCGAAGTGATTCCATTTTATCTATGATAGCTGTTAGTTGGCCTTTGGGGTCTATAGTCTGTAAAATTCCAAATATCAAACAGATATGGCAGGCGGTTTGGTGCGTCTTATTGAAATCTCACTGTTTTTTCGGGATTGGCTCCTTGCGTTTTAAAAATTCTTTCTGAAACACTGATAGACACATCTAAAACTGTGACTATCGTTTGATTATCGTTGTTTGATGTTGAGTCGACAAAATTTCAGCCACTATGTGAAGGAAAGATTATGATCGAATAACTTTCACATTTAACCATGTGACTTTTTTACACTCATATAATTATTTTTCCTGGCACCAGAAATGACACAAAATTCTACGAAAATCATAAGCATTAAAACTGAGGACTTTACAACGCTCTATATAACCGTTTCCAAAGTTAAATTAAATTATAGGTATTCATCATTGACAGCTGCTTTTTCAATAAAAATGGAACTTGTGAACCAACTTATCTTGTCATAAGTCATAATATTGTTTTGTTTAAATTTTTAAAAACATTTTGATTGTACACAAAAGTAATCTGAATTTGGCATTAAAATGATGCTTAAGTTATATCTATGTGGTTTGGGGAGACCAGAACATACATCAGAGGTGGGATCAAGTGCCATGGAGGAGTGAGCATCCCCTGCCGAGCGGTCACACCCGTCGTGTGCTCCTTGTGATGATAGGGAAATTACGGGAAAATATGTCGGGTATTTCCCAGCCAGGTTTGGCCGGCCTCTCAAACAGAGCCAGGGCCAGGTTAAAGAGAATCATGAAGTAGAGTAGATACCGCAGGTAGAACTTGTGGTACAGGTTGTATGACCTGTTGAGTAGAAATGAAGTTCAGGGGATGCAAGAAAAAATTTGACGAGTTTGAAGTTTTCAGTTCCATAATTGTTGACACTTAAATTATCAAATAAGTTTAAAATATTCATATCTTTACTTTGTTTTACCTGTGCATTGCTACATGTACTTTTTACCCAAGTATGCTACTAACTGAGAATCTTATAAAGATCCTCCCAATGCTAACAGAAACACCCAGAACTGTATCTTAGATTCCATATGATACTCATGAATGAACCACACAACTTATAGATTTCCATTACCTGACATAAGTAGGTTCTGTTTTAAATGTAAAATTTCTTCCTTCTTTTGCATCAATCACCAGAGTAGCAGCTAAGATAATATCCTGCAAAGAAACAATTCATTTGGTTTTAGATTTAAGTATTATTGTTATTTGGCCAGTAATGGGCAAACACAGATTGTAATACATACCTGTTACATGTATAATTATTAACATAATACATTCTATACCAACACATGATTGTTCTTTTTATTTAACTTATTATTCATAAAATTTACACTGGTTAAGACAGTTTGAATATGTTTTGACTTATGATGTATGACGACAATTCAATGTACGTGTATATATAATGGCTTAACAATTAGTATGAATAACGTCAGACAGCATTTGAATGAATGATATACTGTACGTATTTTCTGACAAGGTCATTGCATCGACCTTAGAACTTTCGAAATGATGACTTTAAATGAGATTGCTGATATTCTTGTTTCATCAACTTGTTTGTCAATATTTTATCTCAACAGCATTTGAATGATATACCGTACGTATTTTCTGACAAGGTCATTGCATCGACCTTAGAACTTTCGAAATAATGACTTTAAATGAGATTGCTGATTTTCTTGTTTCATCAACTTGTTTGTCAATATTTTATCTCGTTTTAAAAATTGTTATATTTGCTGTCAAGGTCATTTTATCGACCACAGAACTTGCGAAATCATGACATGGAAATTGTTCATACATAACCATGCTCTTGCGTATCGAATCAAGTGAGAGATATAAATCTCGGAAGAAGGTGATAAGGGTATATTGCTACATAAGTAACGGAATTTGACGAGTGAATCTTAAAAGTGAAAGTTATCACTTTAATCTTTTTGTTAGGTAACTATTAACGTCTTTTTCCACTAAAATATCCAAGTACATGTATAAAACAGATGGGTTTGACTTTGTGGTATTTTTCATTTCAAGCTCACTGGATACCCGTATACCAGTCTAGGCATTCATTCTGTAATCGTATCATCTGTCCTTAATATTTCTTTTGATATATAACTGAAAAAAAGTATTTCAAGGTGGGTTTTTGTACATTATTAAACAAACCTACAACTTTTTAAGTCATCCATAAATTCATACATGAAAATAAAATTTAAATGTTGATTAAAGTTTATTTTGAGTGTTTGGTCTAGGATCACCTTAATGCTGATACTTCCTGTCTTTATTTATCACAGCTAATTTGTATCCACCTCAATCACAAAAACCCTTTGCGATAAGCCCCCCCCCCCCTTCATCCTTTTTGTAAAACATCACAGCTGAGTTTTTTGCTTCATAGTGATACATGTACATATATATTCCCATCGCACCTCAGTACATCTGTTCAATTATGACGTCGGTGAATTGTAGCAAGCATGGTTGTCTTTCTTTCTCTCGATGCTACGAAAGAAATTCATGTTAATGGATCTCATATACTTTGTGCAGTTGAGTGATCTGTTCTTATAGCATGTACGATCTACTTTACATTACTCTGACTCAATTTGCAATCAATCCAAATATTCTTAACATTCTGCTAGACTGAACAACTTCAGTAAAACTCTTGACTTGCATGCAGACAACCTACAATGACTTCTGTTTCTCAATATTTCACATTATTTGATGAGTTTCTATGGCTTAGATGAACAAATCATACCAGACAAAGGTCTTCATTGTTCTATACTGGCATCTTTTTTCTGTACATCTTGTGTTTTATCATTCTTTTCATAATTACCTTTCATTCATTCAAATGATGTCAGTAGAATATTACTACTTAGTCAAACTTTGATAGATTGATGTATAAGTGGGTTCTATAAACCTGCAGTTAAACACTAACAGCTGTATGAGGTTCCTTAGAACTG